ACAGCAAATAAATACCAGAGAAAAAAGCAGAGACATAAAAAAAAAATCCTTAAAAACAAATATCTAAGAATAATTACCATTATTAAGTCTAAGTATCAGTTTTACAGTGAAAAACTTACTTCATCTACCAACAACCCTCTGTCTGATCGTTGCGCCCTTCCATAAACCCACTGCATTTCGCTCAGTGGCCACTAGATGGCGTCAAAGCACATCTAAAGGTACCGTTGGTTTGGGACAAATGCAGTACCGTAATAAAATCTGTCTTTTTCACATGGATATCGTCTGTATTTTGACCAAACAGGTATGAAACTAAAAAAAAAATAAAAAATAATCATTCCTTCTTAAAGGGAAATAAACATTGCTGCTTATTTTATCACAAAAATGCTATTGATTTTTAATTTAGTTCTGGATTTTGAAGAAATTTCTTCTTTCTTATTTTGTGTTTAGTAAATTACCAAATATCTAAAACTGTTCTGGAGCTATTTATGGCTTTAAAGACAGAGGTTTACCTGGTCTGATGAAGAGCAGAAACAAAGTGATGACAGCATTAATATGGATTCAGCCAGAATGTAGGATCATGTTTTTCACTGAGATATGGCTGAAGGGTCATCATTTCTTGGTTCCAGGTCTGGTGATAAAATATTAGTACCATGGAGATCCTTCCTGCCCATCTCGATGTGGAAGGATTGATAACCTTCCCTAATACTCAATTGCATCTTCTCCCTTTAGGTTTGATAAAGATTAATTAATTCAAACTAAATGGATAATTTTTCATCAAACCTTTTTTAAGTTAACTCATTTTTTTATCAGGTTTGTACTGGGTTTAGGCAGATGACAATAGTGTCTTTGATAAATCAACTGACATGTCTGTAAAAAGATGAATTTGATCTTTTGGTAGGAAGAATTCAGCAGATATGTCCTTTTCCCTCCCAAAGTCAGTTTTTGAAATATTTTGTGTGCGGAATCTAGAAGGTGAAACGATCATTTGTTTTAAATAAATGTGTTACAATCTAAAATTCAAATGCTTTCCTTAAACAGTACTTTTAATACTTACAAATATATGGATTATTGAATTTTATGAACAAATAAGAAATATATAATTGCATCAAGAATTTAAATTTATAAACAAAAAAATCTAATCTAATTATTGGCAAAAAAAAAAAAAAAGTAACATTAACTAAATGGTTCCTATGGCGACCTGTCCAGGGTGGACCCCGCCTCTCGTCCATAGACAGCTGGAGACAGACACCAGCACCCCTCATGACCCCACTTGGGATTAAGCCTGTAAAGAAAATGGATGTTTGGATAAATGATTCCCGACTATCAAATGACACTTTCTATAATGTAAGAAATAAATTATTTCATTCTTTTTTTTTTTTATAGTGACTGAATCTGATCTGGAATCAGTTTATACGTTCTTTCTGATAACAAGACAACCGAACTGATTGATGCCCTTAGACCATCCTAGAAAAAAAAAAAAAAAGCAGTAAAATATCAATAAATAATATTTTAATATTTTAAACAATAAAACACAAACAGTCCATGACTGGGTTGAAGCTTGCTATGTCTAAGGGGGAAGTTATGGTACAAAAAAACTTCAAATATAGAACAAATGCAAAGAAAACCTTTTCAGACGCCCTCATCTCTTTGTTTACCATTTTCTCTACTGGGCACACCTCTAAACTATTTTATTTTTTTCTTTCCTTTTGTTTTTCTGCACATTGAAAAACATATGAAAAAGAACATTTGAGCTTTCAATGACAAAGATCTGATTTTGCACATGTACTGTCCAGAAAACACACAAAAAGAAACTAAATAAATAAAAACAATTTTTACAAGACTTTGGCTTCATAGTTTGCTAGCAAAAAAAAAACAAAGAAAAAACATTAAAATATTCTGCACTAGTTGAAACAAGCATCTTAAATTAATGCTTGAAAAACAAATTTCATTGTCTTTTATTTTCCTGCTGTCGTTTTAAAGGAAAAGTCCGGTCAGCAAGGAATTTTTAATTTTCAAAATCATAATTTATATTTGAAACTAATATGTTCACAGTGATTTAATGAATTTAGTGTTACTCAGTAAAAAAAAACTAATAATAATAATAATATACGTTGTGATCACTGAGTCTGGGAGCGGCCATCTTTGCCCGAATATAGTAACCCCTCCCTCCTGCCATCTTCCAGCAGTGACTTCCAGTAGTGTTCTTTGACAAACATGGATGCCTCCAGTAAAGCACATTTAAATGAAAATTACTATGAATTAAAAACCCTCATCATTTATTGATCAGGATGGAATAATTTAATATTTAAAGAACTTTCAGAAGTTTGAATTCTGATTATGAGCGGACTTTTCCTTTAAACGACTGCATCCCAAAAGAATAGTATCTCTAAAACCAAGTCAAAGTTTGTAATATTAACATTTCTTTTAATACCACCTGTTACCATGTATGCGTCCAAACCAGGCAAGCATTACCAGGCAAGTTACAAACATTAGCCAGTAGGACTCTGCTGCTTCCCTCTGATCCACAGACGGAGCCAAAGGTTTACAGAAACAGAAATCCAGTTTTTGGCTCTGTCAGTTCGGTGGAAATAATAATAATAATAATCTGGCATTGATGAAAAATCCTCTGTGGGAGGTTTGGGTGTCCTGTGCTATTCAGACAACCAGCAGTTGATGGTTTTCTCTGTAAAGTACTAGTAGGCTGGACCAGTCTTCACATGCAGGAGCCCCAGTACAGCGGAGTGGTTGGTCACCTTCACCGTGTGCTGACTGGAGAGGCTAACGTTCTTCGCCAAGTAATCCACGCCACCTGAGAAACGATGGGTGACAGAGCCAAAAAGAGTAAGGCAGACAGATGGTTTAAATCTTTTATCCCTAGTTTATATTTAAACATTTACTTCTGGGTTTTTTTTAAAATCATTTTCCATCATAGGTGAAAAAGTCATTAAAAACTAATTAGTTCAATGTTTGTAAATGAGATTTAATGTCAATTTCTTCTGAAACCTGTCGGCATTAATATATTACTTTAAAATTAGGAGGGAAACTTTTGTGACCAAAGCCTTCCTTTCAGGCCCTTAATTCACAAACTTATTTATTTTATAGTTTTACTCACAATTTGATTTAAAAATATGATAACAAGAAAGTAATCAAATTAATAGACACTTTGAATCATAAAGTAACTGCGTAGTTACTTTGCCTTCTAAATAGTTACTTTAAAGCTTCAGTTATTCTGTAACTAATTCGGATAATTGGTGAAAAGTAACTTCTAACTTTGATCCATTAATGTCTGAATGTTTACCCAGTTTTCCAAAGAAATGTGATAATTTTAGTTGTTGCCATCACTCCCATGTTGAATTGAATAGTTATAGTTAAATTTAATGCTGCAGCTATATTTAATGTCAATTAAGGTATGAATGACGCTAGTTCGGGACACTTAACCATCTAAGAAATAAATACAATTTTCAATCTTAAGAATATTGAAATTCACCAAAATATAAAAAGAAAACATTGCTTCAGTTTATCATGAGCTGCTATGCATTTTCTAAAATAAAAAAATCTGTTGAAAATTTGAATAAACAAATAATTTTGTTTTAGAGCACCCATTGCTTTTTCTTAATTGTTACTCAGTGTTTAAAATTTGGGTAAATATTGGAAAAAAAATCGCTTTGGTTTCTAGAATCTGGAATAATGAAAATACATACTCATATATTACATTTTACTACACGTTACTAATTTTTACTAATCTTATTCATTTCCATTCTTCATTACCAAACAAAGCTCAAAAGCTTTAGTTCTGTAATTCTGCTTTTAACTCATGTCTCCGTTTGATTCAGTTGAATTCAACTAATGGTGGTTTAAAAATAAATCAGTTGAATAGATTTATCGATGGGCTGCTCAGGGGAGGGGTAGCACTGCTGCCTTGCAGCAAGAAGGTTCCGGGTTCAATTCCCGGCCCGGGGTCTTTCTGCATGGAGTTAGCATGTTCTCCCTGAGCATGTGTGGGTTCTCTCCGGGTACTCCAGCTTCCTCCCACAGTCCAAAAACATGACTGTTAGATTAATTCGCTTCTCTAAATCCTCCTTAGATGTGAGTGTGAGTGAATGGTTGTTTGTCTCTGTGTTGCCCTGTGATGGACTGGTGACCTGTCCAGGTTGGACCCCGCCTCTCGCCCGTAGACAGCTGGAGATAGACACCAGGAACCCTTTCCACCCCGATTGGGATAAGTGTGACAGAAAATGGATGATTGGATGGTTTATCAATCTCACCATAAAAAAAAATCTTGCTTCAGGAAATCTTAAATTAACAACCCAGCTTTAAATTCAACACATTAAAGAGTTTGCTCATAATTTTTTAAGACATTGCAAAATTTAACTGGAATACTTTTTTTTGGATTCAGGTCTTTATGGATAAATTCCGAAGACAGAAATCAGGACGACTTTCTCACCCAGAACCGTCTGCATCTAGTTTGATATCAACTAGAGCCAGTTTTATTTTTAAATATAATTTATTATTACTCAAAAACCAAACAGCAGCTGTTTAGCTTGAGGATCAACTGAGAAACAACAGGACATCCTTTCCTCTGTTTTTAATGCAATCATGAAATCTTTAAGAAACTGAAACTACTTGTTTTTATTCAAATAAGATATTTCTAAGTTTTTCTGTTAAGAAAAAAAAACTGGTGATAAACTAAGCGTTTCATTTTGAATGTTTGAACGCTGAATTTAATGAACTGTCTCCATCCTCTGCTTACCTTTCTGCGGACAGTTTTAGCGCTTTCCTCTGACATTTGACTCTTGTAGTAAAGAAGGAAGGTACTTAGAGATCAGTATTTAAATAACTGACATGCCAGTAAGTGTGCCTGTGTGTAAACACATTCTATCTCAGTGGCAGAGGACTATCCATTTGACTCCTCGCTGAGGATTTAAGGTATAAACCTGGCTGGCAGGAAAAACATCCCTTTAAAGGGGCCCTGTCACTAAGCCCTGGTGGAGAGCAAAGACACACACACACATATTGCTCCCCCAGCACCTCTCTAGGTGAATGGCATCTTGGCAGACAGACCTGCCCACGCATATATGTTCTTATTTATTTTTTTGCTTCTTAGCAAAGGTGTGACAGTTTTCTTTCTGTTCAAACGAGGTTCTGAACTGTCAAACCCTGCTTATCTCCTCCCAGTACCCCAACATACACACATCCTGTAATATCAACACTGTCAATTCTTCTGTCAGAGAAGTTATCACCAGCTGAACCTGGGAGGAGCAACATCAAAAACTGAGGAAAAATATGATGAGAATTAATGCCAGCTTTCATGAAACATGCCCTCTGAGCTTAACTGCTTGTTGTTTCCTTCAGATGTTTCCATCTAGTCATTCTGTTATAGTTAAGACAAACTGCACGTTTGGTAATAAACATAATACATGTTCAATATATAACGTACATGTTTCAGAAATGCTTCATACCAGCCTATGGATTTATTATCAGAAAAATATTGAATTTACTAAAGTTGGGGATGGTTCCTCCTCCAATTAAAGAATTTTAAATGTCTTAGCATCATGTTTACCAGTGATGTTGGTGCTATAGACAGGTGGGGCTTTGTCTTCAACAGTGGGTAGTGATCCTGTTTGTCTTGGTAAATAAAGTGGTGAAGCAAAAAAACAGGTTTTGATTTACTGGTGCTGCAGCCATGGTCATGAAATCTGGACCCGCAGAAGGAATGAATCCAGGACAGAAGTAGTTGAATCTAGCCTGTTATGTGTTAACCTTAATAATATAATGATGAGCTTCATCAACCATATGGAACTCAGACTAAAGTTGATAGTCCTTTTTATGATGTGAAGACAGTTAATTTGGGCATCTGAGCAGGTTGCTTCCTGGTTGCCTGTCCCACTTAAAGGAGATTGCTGGAGGGGTCTGGTTATCCTCCCGCAGCAGTGTGTCACAGTGGGCTTGTGGGAGATATTTTTGTTTTATGCCCAGTATTGAAGCATGGACTGCGCAATGTTATTCCACACCACAACGCAAGAGGGACAATCAATTCAAATGTCTGGATCCACAGTGAGTTTGAGTCGTATACAATATATAAGACTTATACAATATATGAGACTCAAACTCACTGCGGATCCAGACATTTGCATTGAGAAAGCTTCCTGGAGAGGTGGCGAAACATCTTCATATCTTGGAAACCAAGTCCAGTGGATATTTTTTTTTATTTTTTACGGAAAAACCTGTCTATAATTCTGAAGGTCGGTCGTTAGAGGGGGGGATTGTCGTTAAAGGGGGGATTGTCTCCTGTAATACCTGAAGCCTGTCTATGATTGTTAAGGGTCGGTCGTTAAGGAGGTATTGTTCAGCAGCTGAAGAGAGGAGGTACTGGTGTGGTGATATCTGGAAGAGATTATCTATATAACTGAATTATAAGTTTTTTTTTTACTTTTACGGAATGACTATGACCTGGATGACTGAGAGTCTTCATCAGCATAGTGTAGAATGGATGTAGATTTGACCAATCAGAGGCCTCCTGTCTGCGGCACTGTCAGAGGTCACCTACAGTTTTGGAGAGGTGCAGCAGTCTGCAGGAGGGTCGGGGGCACATTTGTGTTCACTGCAACACACGCAGACCACCTGGTTTCTGAGTATAAACCAGCCTATAGGAGGGACTCATTCTGTAAGTGCCATTGATTGTCTCACTGATTGTCATTCTCAGATCGAACACATTTTAACCTAAGAACAGACCAAACAAACTGGTGTGGTATATGACTGTAGCTAATATGAGTCTTATAGCCCTGGATGTATGCCACACTTTTGATCCAACGTGACTCTTTTGGTGGTGTAGCATCCCTCCACCTCAACAGAATCCATCAATAAGCCAACAACATAGAAAATACAATAAGTTCATAGGTTCATAGGACCGCTTAATAGCAGTAGGAGAAGAAGAACCCAACTGTGAAATCGAAGAAGGTGAGAAAGAGCCAAAGGAGCGCGTCTCCATTTCCACCTAGACAGGTCCACTGTCATCATGCTGACAGTGCATTCAATAAGACAGACAGCATAAGTTGTGCTGGCCAGTAATAGTAACAGAAATTTGGCAGGGATCGGCCTCCATCTTGGTTTGATGTGTTCAGATCTGAGCCCTGAAACTTCCATGATTTGATTGGTAGTACGTTTTTTTTCTATCTATCTACTATCTACGTTTTACCAATACTTTTTGCTTAATGAACCAAGTGGATACTGCTTTAGAACCAAACGCAATTTGAGCAGCAGAAACAGCCGGTTTACATGCAAAGTATATGGCTGAAGTGCATTAAAGTTCATGAAAGGGTCTTGCAGGACATTTGGAGCAGCAGGGGCAACACTTCAAGAACATAAGGGGATTGGTGGTCTAGTGGTTAGGGCATTGCACTTGGAATCCAGAGCTTCTGAGTTCCAGCCCCACCACTCCCACAGACCACCACTCTGGCTTACTGAGCCTA